AACAAACAAGAGGAACGATCCTTGGAAGCACAGTCATCAGCTGATACCAGAATCCAATAGAATTAAAATCTTTTAATGCTTTTCCTCTCTCTCTCTCCATTGCACCTTTTCCTATTTTGTTTTTGATATGAATGATGGCTGTTGGTTCCTTCATTTGTCTGGAGGCAGTGTCTCACTCTGTAGCTCAGTCTGTCTTAGAACTGATGAAGTACCCCAAGCTGGTCTCAATGCCCATACAATTCTCCTTCCCTGGTCTCCTAAGGAATCGGATTATAGGTTAAGCAGCACAACTGTTTTGAAAGTTGAAGTTTCTTCCCATCAGATTTGGGATGCTGCTGACAGCCTATCTTTCCAATTTCATTCCTATAGTCAGCTTCCAGTACATTCTATGTTCTATCCATTATCACTAGCCTGTAATTAGTGGGAAAAGCTACTAGTTCAACTTCCTTAGGGTTTTTTTTTTTTTTTGCATATGTTGTTTCTTCTACCACTCATGCCCAAGCTGATCTTTCAAAATTCAAACTTCCAAACGGGCATCATCTCCACCGTTAAGCTCACAAACACTTATGGATACCTGGTGCATACCACACTAAACTAGAATTGCTTTTGTTGTTTTTCCTACCAGACCAAGATCTTTGTATCTGTCATACCTACCATATTATTATGGTGCTCAAAACGTAGCCAGTTACTTACTGTTGAATAAACAAGAAAGATTGCTTCTATCAAGCAAACAATTGCCTATGAGCAGATAAACTATCTTCTCCAGCTAATATCCCTGATATTTGAAGACAGCTGTTAAGTCTCTCTTCATATGCTCACAATACCTACACTGATTCAGCATCCTGATTATCTTTGCCTTGGTGATTTAAAGATCCTTTGACTAGATTTCCTCCAAACCCATCAAGCTTTCTGTCCTTAGCATACCATCTAAATTTTACCCAGCTCGTTTCCTGCCAGCAGTAGTAAACTTTATTTTCTCAATCATTTCACAGTCAAAAATCCATTTCCTTCCTGTTACCTCATTTTATCAAGTCATACCATTTTTTTTTTGCCTTATGGTCTTCTTCCAAGCTTTGCACCCTGCGTATGAGAAGACAACCCTGATTGATCAGCTGCAGCTGTGACTTGTGGACAAAGGCCAAGCGTGCACTGTGGAATCTTATCAATGGAGGGTCTGACTTGGATCGGCTAGAGAAGATATTTGTAAAACTCTATGTTTTGTTTCAAACTGTAAAACCTTCCAGGGGAAAAAAATCTACTATGATAACGATAACACATACTCACTTTGCTTTTATGTCATGAGTTTTAAAAGACCAGTCTTGATGAAACACTTTAAGGCCTACTTCAAATTATTAAAGATGGTGTTTGGAGCCTTTAGACAGAGACATAGTTGCTGAAGACAGTGTGGCATTCTCCTACACTGAAGAAGAACTTGACTTTCCATACAGAAAGAAAATGTGATTTTTCTAGTGTACACACACACACACATGCATGCACAATTTTAAAAAAATTGGTAAGCAAGCAGAGGTCCCTTTGTTACACTTTACTATCAGATTGTCTACCCCCTCCAATTCATACACCATTGTAATTCTGCAGATGCATCCTAAACTTATCTGTAGGCCTCACTGCTCCATAACTCAGTAAGAAGACTACTTTTAAGGACATAGACATTACCCCCACAGCTCAGTTCTCTTCCTTTTGCATCAGTGAAACGTACACATAGGAGTACAAGCCACCCCAGGTCACGGAACTTCCTTGTCTAGATGAAGGGTTTTGTTAGACACAATGACTTTTGCCTGTAACTGGTTTCAGGGATAGGGAACTGTTCAAAGCCTGCTATCTTACTTCGTTAAAACACCGAAAGAAATGTAAGCTCAGTGTTGCTCCTCCCATTTTAGAGATAAATGAGTAGAACTGTAGAGGTCTCACCAACTTTCTCTGCATCTTCTCGAGTATCCACTGCATCAGATGCCTGAAATAGTAGCTATCTTCTACAGTCTCCAAAGAGTTCAGTCGCTAAGTGGTTCCATATCTTACCTCTCCGCTTACTGTGTACAACTTAAATAGTGATAGCTGTCAGCACTGCCTTATGAAGTAAAATTTTATTTATTGTTCAGATATTTTGATACAAATTTTAAAGCCTAACTATTAAGATTAATTAAAGGCAGAAGTATAATTCCCATTCATTTAAAATATTCTCTTCTCACACGTTACCATTATCACTGGCATATTTCTAAGTTAATTAAGTACAGAATTATTCCTCATTTCAGCCCAGAGATTCCAGCGTATTAGTGGCTATCAGTGTGGTTTTTTGCATTTTAGAAATGACCATATAGAGTATAAATTTGCTTCTCAGAATTCTCTTGGGTTATCTAAAACGCTATTTTTAGATTTGAGTCTCAGTGCAACAGTCTCATTAGTTGGCTTAGAAATTCACTGCTTAACTTCTGGATCTATATGAAGGATCTCATAGGCTGTGTCTATAATAAGCAGCTTATCCAGTATGTTAATTTTAAGGGCTGCCTTTAAAAAATGCTGCCTTCTTCTGATAAACCCCAGACTTTAATAGCATGTCCTCTGAAGTTGTTCTGTAAATGCAGTACTAAAGTTCAGCACGACAATCTGGGCTATTTAATTAGCTCCCAGCTGCAGTGCTGGGATGCGGTATAAGGATAACATGACTTGTTGAGATAGCTTGGTGCTCGCTGTTTGGACTCTGGTTCTGAATTCAGCGGTCATCTTAAGCTTTCTTGAAGAATGGTGTGGTGGTTTGAATTAAAAATGCCCTCCATAGGCTCAGGCGTATAAACACTTAATTCTCAACTGGTGGACCGTTTGGGGGGTGGGGGGTCCAGCCTTGATGGAGGAGGTCCATTGCTGGGCACAGGCTTTGGGAGTTGATAGTCTCACCCCACTTCCTGTTCACGCTCTCAGCTTCGTGTTTACAGTTAAGACATGCTCTCCCCAAATCCTGCTCCTCCCACCATATCTCCCCATCATGATGGACTCTCAGCCCACTGGAGCCCTAAGCCAAAACAAACTCTTTCTACCCTAACCTGCTTTTGGTCTTGGTGTTTTAACATAGCAACAAAAAGTCACCAATACAAATGTTTTTTTTTTTTCTTTATTTTTCAGGAGAGACTATATTCTCTCTTATTCAATAACTACTAAGAGACATCTTGCTAATTTTTTGCTCATGCCTATGTAGCTACATAGCTGACCTTAACAAGAAATGTAATGATCTTCTAAAATAGAGAGGAATTTCTTATCTGATCAAAAAAATATCTGAGCTAGAAGATCAACTAATATGTCATACAAATAGAACCTAATCTCAATGACTTAACTATTTCAAATTCCTTAAACTTCCAAAATCTCCCTTACAATGATGAACATGGTTTATAAAGTTTAAAAACTTCCTTTGAAGCTGTATAAATTCTTACATTTCATTCATTTTCCATTAATTATATCACTTTTATAGATACTAGGCACAGTGGTTCTCGACATGGGTCGTGACCCTCTTGGCAAAATATTTACATTACAATTCATAACAGTAACAAAATTATGAAGTAGCAATAAAAATAATTTTATAGTTGGAGACGACTACAACTATAATAATATAATATAATGAAGAACTGTATAAAGTGTTGCACTATTAGGAAGGTTGAAAACCACTGGTCTAGTGAGTTTTAAGACTTACTCTAAAATATGGCAGATTATGTAGGACAGTAGTTAAAGACCTAGTCATTGGTCGGGTGCATTGGCTCGAACCTTTAATGTCATCACTCAGAAAGCCGAGGCAGGAGGATCTCTGTGAGTTCAAGTAAATCTTGGTCTACAAAGCAAGTTCCGGGACAGCCAGGGCTACACAGAGAAACCCTGTCTCAAACAACAACAAGAAAGACCTGGACATTGAATACCTGCTATGAAAACTGCACTGTATAACTTCATTCTCAAAAGAACCCTAGAAAGTTGTGGTTTTACATAGAGGAAGACCAGAGATGATATGGATCTGGTTGAATAAGATCGTGTGATAGTAAGTTTTAGAAATGGTGTTCGAGTCCAGGTTGCCTAGTACCTAACCTTAGGCTCTTTCTAGATGCCATCTTGAATCTTCCTTCAAGTCACTGAAATTGCCCTAGCAGAAGTTTATACAGGATACATTACTCTGTCACACAAGCCATATATTTCTTCGAAATTCTCTTTCTTATGATTTTGTCAATTACCATTGCTTCTAGGAGTGTGCAGTGCTTAAGTCCAGACTCCATACCCTATAGCATATTAACTACTCTGCAATAATTATAACAGCTTCCCAGTCTGGTTAGGCAGAAGGTAACTATAGAAATCTTTCTCTCGATGGGCTATGGTGGCGCACGCCTTTAATTCCAGCACTTGGGAGGCCTAGGCAGGCGGATCTCTGTAAACTGGAGGCCAGCCTGGTCTCCAGAGCTAGTTCCACAACAGCTACAGTTGTTACACGGAACAAAAATAAAAAAGAAAGAAAGAAGGAAAAAAGGAAGGAAGGGAAGGAAGAAAGGAAGGAAGGAAGGAAGGAAGGAAGGAAGGAAGGAAGGAAGGAAGGAAGAAACCTTTCTCTCACATGTCATGTATCTATATTATTTGAACTAGCAAAAGATATAAATATATGCAGGTAACTATCTATTTTTTGAGGCAGGTCCTGAGCTCACTGTATAGCCAAGGATGGCCCCGAACTTTTGATTCTCCTGTCTCCATTTCCCGTGTGTTGGGATTATAGGCATGTGGCATCATAACTGGCTTTTTGGATATTATATTATTAAAAATCTAATGTTAAATGTCTAATTTGGAAAATATTAAGAAAAAAGTTATATATATATAAAACATATATATGTTATAAAAAATCTAATGCTACATGTCTAATTTGGAAAATACTAATAAGAAATTATATATATGCACTGAATATACATATATATGTACATATATGTTTTATATTGCTGTGATGAAATGCTATGACCAAAAGAAAGTTGGGGAGGAAAAGGTTTATTTGGCTTACACTTCCACATTACAATCCATCATCGAAGGTAGTCAGGATAGGAACTGCAGGAATCTGGAGGCAGGAGCCAATGCAGAAGCTGTGGAAGAGCTTACTGCTTACTGGCTTGCCCCTCATAGCTTACTTAGCCTGCTTTCTTCTAGAGCCCAGGACCACCATCCCAGAAATGGCACCACCCACAAAAGGCTGACCCTCTTCCATCAATCACTAATTAAGAAAATGCCTTAGAGCCCTGCCTACAGCCCCTTCTTATGGAGGCATTTTCTTCATTGAGGTTCCCTCCTCCCAGATGACTTTAGCTTGTGTCAAGTTGACATAAAACTATTCAGTACAACGGACCCCCATCAACTTGACACCGAGCACATCATCACCATTAAGCCACAGTCTCTTCTTTCTCATTCATTCCCAAGAGTCTACATTAAATATATAAATAACTTTTAAAGTCTCACAGTCTTTACAAATTCAAACACACTAAAAGTTCAGTCTCTTTAAAATAGCCAATCTTTTTTTAAATCCAAACTCTTTTAAAATTCAAAGTCTCTCAACTGTGGGGTCCTATAAAATCAAAAAATACATGAAATACTTTCTTACTTCAAGAGGGAAGAACCAGGGCAGAGTCACGATCAAAGCAAAACAAAACCAAACTCCAAAAGTGTAAATAACTCAGTGTCTAACACCTGAAATTTACTCACCATCTCCTGGGTTCCTTCAAGAGGCTTGGCTCGCTTCTTCAGCTCCAGCCTCTGCAGTGCACACAGCCTGTCTTCTAGGCCCTGGCTGGCGCCACTCCACCACTGTTACTGTTCTTGGTGGTCATCCTATGGAACTAGCATGTCCTACATGCTGGGGACCTCTGCTGAAACTGGGCAACACTTTCACCACTAGCCTCTCATGGGTTCTTTTCATGGTGCCAAGCCTCAATTTCTCTATGATCCCTTCAATCCTATGCCTTCAATGGCCACTGAGGCTGCATCTTCAACAGTGGTCCTCTCTTGGCCCCTCACAGTGCCAAGCCTGAGCTGTGTTCTCCATGACCTTCAAAACTAGTACCACCTGAGTCACTCTTACACTACCAAGTTCAGCTGCCAGCTTGAAGTATAATCTTGGCTGTCTGTGGAACACAGTTCCTACATGCTCTCAGGAAAGACTTCCCAGAAGATTTCACCTCAACGACACTGGTCTCTTTTTAATCACTATTAATTTCTCAGCTCTAGCCAACCAGCTTCGAGTATCTCAGCAAAGCAAAGATTTCACGTTAGTAGTTGTAGTATCTTGTAGCTCACAGCTGATTGATTCTTCAGCCCCAACTAAGCAGAGCCACAGAATATTAATTCAAAGTAACAAAAGACTCTGATAGAGTCTTTAAACTTCCCTCTGAATCTTCAGAAGCCAGGCCTCCATCTTCTGTATTGCCCTCAACACTCCCATCTTCTAAGCTTCTACAAAACAGCCCACTAAGTTCTCAACACTCAATGAAGTTTCTAATCCAAAATTCCAAAGTCCTTCCATAATTCTCCCCCAAACAAAATAGTCAGGTCTGTCACAGCAATACCCCAGTGACCACTTCAATAGTGAATCTGCAGTGTCAGGCATGAATTCCTTTATGCAAAGAGAGTATCAAATCCAAGCAGAGAGTGGCTGGTTACCCCCAAAGCAGCCATACCAGTGAGTTCCTTTTCTCTGGTAGGTTGTTATAGTTCATAGGGCTCACACTGGGTAAGATAGGGGTCATCTTTTCTCCTCTAGCAGTTTGCTAAGCACCATGTAGCACTATGGAAACCAACCAACAAGAAGGAAACTAGTAGTCCACTTCCAGCTTGGTTTCACTGTATTTTGCAACAAAGTCATACAGTCTTATCAATTATTTCTGATGGAAAACTAAGCAGGGTTGCAAGAGTTTGTACTGTTTCTAACTAGCAACTCAAAAGGAGCTCTCTAAAACTTGGCACTTGGATTTCTGCATAATGACCCATGGCTTTTAGGAGTAAAAACACACTGCGATTAATGGCAGATGGCATGAAAAAGCGTCTAGAATTTGGAACTGGGAAAGCTAAAAATGTACAAAAGAGTCCAGAATCTTGGCAGGCCAGTAGTCAGCCATTCGAGCACCTTCCAGAGACAGGTATAATTCAAGTTTCCAATGGGCCAGAGAGATCACAGGCTAAGCGGCAAGCACACAGGATATGAGCAGAAACACATGTGAGAATGAAATCTCTGCATCAGAAACTGCATAGCAAGAAGATGGAAAGGACACAGCTGCTAGAGTTCAAGGCACACAGCGCAAACCCGGAGGACTCCAAATTCCAAAGGGGGGAAATATAAAGCACAAGTCCAGCAGTCCTCAAATGGTCTAGAACCCACCAAGTCACAACAGTCAGGACTGAAGAGGTGGGAAGCAATGGGTGTGAGAGATGCTGTACCCAGCGGTCTCACCATTACTGAAAGGAAGATTTCTAAAGAACTCGGCATTTCTGGGTCACCCAAGGAGACAGGAACACACATCCAACTGGACCCTGCTGCTGCCGGGTTTTCACGGTGGTAAGTGTTCAGGATCTTATCCACACAATTTTAACGGAGGTGTTCTTTTCTTGTGTGACTCCTTGTCAGTCCAGCTTTCTGTGTGTGCTGATGAAACTACCCAAGCTGTTCTCATGAACCTGATTTGCAGTTGGTAGATCTCATCCAGTCTACTCCTGTATTCTTATTCTAAACACATGTGCCTCAAGCGCAACTGAAAGAATAATTTCAACAGTTTAGCCATTGGCCGCAGGAGCCTCCCCTGCCTGTTCATTAACATCTGAGAGTGAGTCTTTTACTTTCCGTGTGTTTTCAGCAAGGAAACTGTAAGATCATTGGAACCAAAGGTTTTTCTCTGCCCATCACTATCCGGTGTACTGGAGAAGAGCTTGTTCAATCTTTCTACATCCATTCTCTTTCTCTTTCATTTCTCTGCCAGCGCTGGGGACAAGAGCAGATGAAGGGGAAGCACCAAGTCTCTTTTCTTGGCTAGGCTCCGTTTGCCATCCCCTCTGGCTGGCTGTGGATGCCTTCAGAGTGGCAGACATCCAAGCACTCATAAAGGTGTGGGGGGGAGTTTTGGGGAGGGCACGGGCAGACTGTTGTTTCTTATCGTGAGTGATACCAACCCCTTGTTCCTCCAGGCCCAGCTCCTTGCAATCTTCTGATAAGGACACTCTAAGTTGTCCAGCAGAGAAACTGGCATCTCTGCCGAGCCACATCACAGGCTTTTCGTCAACTCTCTAGTTAGGTCTCTCTCACGCTGGCATCCTTCTCCACTTCTCGTTATTCCTGACGTGTTGACTATGCAGAAGCCTCCAGTGTTGGTACGAGTGGTTCTCTCAGGAGAGCAGCAGCATTACAGCATTTTACCTAAATACGGAAATTTAGGAGAGTTATTTCCTCAAGGACTCTGAAGGAAACATCCTTTATCTTTCTACCCGTGTTGTTGTTAAAACAAAGTTAGCCATCAGGTAACTGTTTTGGTTTTTCTTTCCATCTGTAGTTGCTGCTATGAGGTCCCTCTCTCTTTTCTGTCATGTGGTTTCTTAGTGCTATGTGTAAGGAGGTTTTCTTTAACGTGTTACACCACTGGTGCTTTTTTTTTTTTTTTTAACAATTCTGCCTCCCTGATGCTTTCACCTGGCATAAGTGAATTGGGAGGAACTAGTACCAGCACTCTATTATAAGATACAGGGATACAGGACTCTTAACTTTACATGGCATTGTAGCCCATGGAGAATGCTACCATAATATCATAGACTCAATATTTTGTAAACAACTTGTGCTTATTTATGTAGCTCTGGAGGCTAGGGGGTCCAAAATTAAGGTAGAAGGGGCTTAGCATCCGGTGAGGCCCAGTTCCATAAACAGTATCTTCTGTGTCCTGAGATGGTAGGGAACAGAGTAAAACTTCAGGTCTATTTTATGAGCAAAATATTCTACTCATGAAGGTTCTTAAGGATTCTCACTACTTGACCAGTTTAGAGGACTAGAATTTCGGCATGGATTTTACGGGGGCACAGCATGCAGACAGACCACTTGCACCCACCTTGCTGCTTCAGTCATACCCTGGCAGAAGTTATCAGTACAATTCTGGGATTGTATGTATCTGGCGCATCTCCAGGTTAAATAATTCCCTGAACTAACTGCTCCTTATGGTTGCCTCTTCCTCCCATCTCCAGACTTACAAATTTCTTGTGTCTTTACAGTTTCCTATCAGTATTGTTTCCTGCGCTCTCAGTACCATTTATATGCACCGCCCACAATCATTTGAGGAGCAGAGTTACATAACGCAGCAGATCTGAGGAGGCTTCATATGTGAACTTGAAAAACTTCTTACCAAAAATGAATCTGCATTATCTACTGAGCTGAGTTCCTGAACATTTATATGTTGAAATTCTAATGCTCAATGGGCTTGTACGAAGAAGAAAGAGGCCTTTAGACAAGGAATTAAAGCGAAGTGAGATTGTAATGGTGAGTGCTTCACCCGAGAGGAACAGTGTACTCACAAGGGGGAGAGAGATTCTCTTCACACTCACTTTTACCAACTAAAGCCCCGTGATGAAAAGGCATGGAGGTATGCTTGCTTCTTGCTTTCCTTAAATTATCCCAACTACCTTTTGCCGCTGGGCTTTAATCTTTCTCTATTTCTGTATATCTTTTTTTTTTTCCTTCTCACTCCATGACTGGCTGAGTGGCTGGCCCCTGATGTCCTCCTCCTCTCAGATTGCCCCTTCTATTCATTCTACCTGCCAGCTCCGCCCCCTCCCCCCATCCTTTCTCCTGCCTCATTATTGGCCATTCATCTCTTTATGAGGACCCTCGGGTGTTTCAGACAGGCACAGTAACACAACCTCAGAGTTAAACAAATGCAGAGTAAACAAAAGTCACACACCTGAAAATAATATTACCTAGCATATGTCCATTCTTGCTAGGAAGACCCTTGACTCTACATGGTTTAGCCAAATAGGTTTAAAAAAAAAAAAAGCCCAATTCTGAGTTCTGACAAATGTTATGCAAATTCATATTGCTGTAAAACTATTCTAAACTTACCTAGCCTTGGAAAATATACCGTTTACTTATTCTTTAACCATATTTTAATTCTTTCAATTGCTCCATCTCAGTCTTTAGTTTTACTTCCTCCAGACTGAGGGCCTTAACTGGTACATAAGGAACAGCAAGATCGGTATTTGTTTGCCTGCATCATCTTCCCTCTGTACATCCCTTTTTAATCCTTCCTTCTTGTTCTCTATTTCCTAGATTCCACATTCCTCTATCCCACTTACATCCCCACATTTATCAACATTCTTCTCAGGTCCCCTGTTCCACGGACACCGAGACACACGGATCGACTAAGCAGCTTTGGGTGCCTTGTTTTTGGTGGCTGGCTGATTGCTTTCTTGCTATCATTTCTATGTGGAAGAAGAAAAGCTGACCCTCAAGGTTCCCATGCAGGCTAAGAATAAAATCAGGTTATGTTCGTAAACTTCGACTTCATCATCAGAGAAATGGTACTTCATTTCTTTGTTCATTCATTTGAGCTCAATGAACTGACATTTACTTGGTGCCAAATTCTCCTAGGCCTGCCATGGAGTAAGTGCTTAATAAAAGTTCCTTTGTGCAAGTGACTATTATCACCCTGATACTAATGTCTCCTAAATAGAATCTTTCTCGTGTTCCTACCTCAGTGACCTCAGAGGACATTTGTCACGCTCAATAAATACTTACTAAATAAAACAGCAGTACCCTTGTCATCAAGGAGCTGAAGTCACAAAGACACGCATACTATCAAAATAGAAAAATGCTGAAGAGTAAGAGTGTATTTTATTCACCCTACCTATTCCTCATAAAAAGAATAATTGAAAAAAAAAAAGCACAGAGGGACTGGAAATACCTCACTAAATAAAGTGCTTAGCATGCAAACATAAGAATCTGAGTCCATCCCCAGCTCCAACACACACACATGCACACACACACACGCACACACATGATAAAATAATGTAATGGCAGAGGAAGAAAAGAACATTTCACACAAGAACCAGCTAAAGGGACTATCTACTTTAGAGACTCATTCAGAAGTTCTGGCCCACAAATCTGAATTGCTTACCAAGGTAATTCTTCACTGTGGTTCTTGAAAGGAGATGTTCCAACAAAGCAAAACAAGAACAACAAAATCAAAAAAAAAAAAAAAAAACTACATGGAAAATAAGCTAACAGACAAAAACAACTAGAATTTGATATCAACATGGGAAAAATCCTGCTGGTTGTTCTAGTGACAGTTTCTAAAACAGTAGGACAGAAAGCTGTGAACCTGCATCCTGTATGGCCATGCTCAGCAGCTGACTCCACACCACCACCTACCTGTTCTGAGCTTCCTAAGCGGGACTGGCATCTGTTGTGGCGGGGATAGTCAATGCTTCCGAAGGTTCACATGCTGAAGGCTTGGTCCTGAAACAGAATTCAAGGATGCCTGAATCATGAGTTCTCTAGAATCACCAGTGAATGAATCCATCAATGAATCTGTAGTTGACTGGATTACAGGGCCTCCCTGGAGTAGGTCACTGGGTGAGCAGCATCTCCCTGAAGGCTCTATCTTGGTTCCCGGCCTCCCTCCCTACTCTCCCTTCCCTTCTTTCCACTCTACTCTCCTTCTGTCCCAGCCACCAAGAAGCAAGCAGCTTGGCTCCAGCACCGACTTCCGAGTAGGATGCTTAGTGTCAAGGCAGCTTATAACAATGGTTCCCAGACTATGGTTCATGACCCCATTGGGGTTGTACATCATATATCCTATGTATCAGACATTTACATTATGACTTATAACAGTAGCAACATTACAATTGTGAAGTAGCAACAAAACAATTTTATGGTGGGGGGGTCACCATAACACGAGGAACTGTATTAAAGAGTCACAACATCAGGAGAGTTGAGATCCACTAATAAAGCAAGGGAGACGATTGACTATGGGCTGAAAATACTGGGTAAAATAGCTTTTCCTATGTGTTCTCTCCTTAGTATTTTCCATAGCAATGTAAGTTAACATAGCCTATATTTATAAAAGCCGCTATTGGTCCAAATTTTGGTTAAATGTAGCCAAAGGCACGTCTCATGATTTAAGGGCCTTTTTTTTTTTTTTCTTTTTTCTGGAGAAGGCTTAGACCGTATCAGTGAAATGAAGCATGAAGCAGTGATGCAGTTAAATGTGCTACGATTTAAAGAGGACCACAAATAGAGTCTTTTTCACAAGCAAGTCATTCTGTTCTATGGTTATAATCTATCTGACTAAACAAATTAAACCTTGTAATAAGAAAAAAGGAGTATTTCTGAGCAATGACCCTTATTGAGCATATATTATATACTGGATACTCTATTTTGGATGAATACAGTGGTACACAATGGCTCAATGGTTAAAAGCACTGCCTGCTCTTCCAAAGGTCCAGAGTTCAATTCTCAGCAACCACTTAGTGGCTCACAACCATCTCTAATGAGATCTGGTGCCCTCTAGAGGAAGAAACCCGGTCAGTTGTCCTCATCAACTTAGACCATGAAACCCAATATGAACAAGTTCAACAGAACCGCCATCTATGGGCTGCCCATGCATGCTTCAGCATTGCCAGGGGAAAAACAAACAAGCAAAAAACAAATGAAACAAAAAAATTAATAAACAGTGGTACACACCTGAGATTGAGAAGGCAGAAGGAAGGAAAGCAGAAATTCAAAGCAAGTCTGGGCTACCTATAAATTCCAGGCCAGCCTGGGTTAAAGAATGAGAACCCGTCTTAAAGGAAGGAATGAAAGAAGGAAGGGAGGGATGGGGGAGGAAGGAAAGAAGGAAAAAAAGGACAAACGAAACCAGAGAAAAGAAGCAAAAACTGGGCTGAAATTTATGTAGGTATTTCACCCAAACTTTATAACAGCATTGTGATCTATCACAATTCAGCGTTAGTAATAGGAAAGCAATGAATTCTAATTAAGGGGGGGGCTCTCAAAGACCATCAGGATATGCTTGAAGAATGAAGGGCAAGGAAAGCGGTTTTGGTAAACTTGTTCCTTCCCAGGTACCGTCCCTAGCATTTTTACCATGCATATTATTTTCTATTAAATTATGGGTGTCTCCTATGGTATAAGACAGATTTAAGTCTTCCATGAGAAACCTTCCTCAGCATTTAGGTATGACCTCTCTATTTGCTGGAATGTATATTTGGGGGTCACCACCATATGCCTAAATTATACAGTATTTGGAGTGGGACAAACACCTTACTCCCAGAAGGTACAAAGTATGTAGGAACTAAATAAGTCCCAGCAAATGTCTTTGAACTGTTTTGCATTTTTTAATATATAAAAACGTTCTATGCTGTGACTTGAGAATTCTTATTTTAGGCTTACTTGTAATTGTACTCCATTTAACTCAGCAAAATACAATTAATTTGTTACTAATAAATAAGTTTCATGTGGGTTTTCAGCTAAAGAATGTCTCTATCTCCAAATTAATGGAAATTTGAGAACATACATAATTATATTTTATGAAGTGTTTGATATCCCCCCACCCTACTCCCTCTCTCCACCTGCCAGTTCTGTTATGATCAGGACTGACATATTCACATAAGTCCATTTAAGGAATGTATCTTGTTTTAAAAACATACTACTGTTGGTGTCTTAACTTTGCTCTATCACTTAAAACATGGCCTAGACCTTACAATGTTGGGCAGGCTGGCCTGGAATTCTCCATCCTCCTGAGTGCTACGATGGAGGATGTGTGAAATCATGCTAGGCTGGGATTCCTTAAGAGAATAAAGAGCCTAATGTTTCTCTTCATATTTGGTTACATCGAGCAGCTTCCGCATGTGTTATAAAGATTGAAACAATCAATTTACCAGTAAAGATGTTAATGTAATTATACCATTAAAGGAATGAAAGGAATGCACCTATTAAAATTGCCTAATTTTCAATATGGTGTCCAAAGCAGTAACTTTTCTGGAGCTTATATATTTGGTAGTAAAAAGAGCATATTTGGAAAACTGTAAGGTTACTAAGTAGAGAATTGTGTTGCATTGTTCCTATTATATACTAATACACCTCCAGTTCAATTAAATTCACAAAATAAATTAGTTCTAAGATGAAAATGAAATGCTCATATAATACATAAGAGCATTGCTGATTTCAGGTGGCCCAATGCCTTCTAAGAAATAATTCTGAAGGGTTGAGCTCTAGTCCAGTGCCAAAGTACTTGCTTGTCCATGAGGTTCTAGCTCTTTAACCAGAAGAAAAACAAAAAAACCCTAATTAAGCAATTCAGCATTTTTTTACATTGAAAAGTATGTCATCTGGGAGATTTCAGGATGAAGCTCCATGGGAGGAAAATAAATTGAATTTCTTACTGTGCAGTTGCTTCCATATTGCTTTTAGCTTTAATTTTTTTTATCTGAGGGAATGAAACATACAAATCAAATATACACTACAATTACATTGACTGTATGAGAGTAAATTTATCATGTATGCAATTCATGTTTACTGAAGTGTGTACAACTATGTTCTGGGACATATATGTTTTCACTTGTGGGCACATCTGTATACTCAAATAAAAATTTCATTGCAATAATGTTCTATAATATGGATGCTCAGTGATTTGTCATGAACATATACTTTAAAAACATGCGTTTTATGATTTAGAACTTCAACAAATCCATAAAGTGAACAGATTCTAGTTTAACCTATTATCAGTTTTGCTAGTGTAGCATACAATGATTCATTTATTACTTTAATGTCAAGTTCTTGATTAAAGTAGAATGCCTAATTTAATTTTCTATGGGGACTTCCTTGGAGGAAAGTTGGGAAACAGCCAAGGGTTCATAAATGTGTCTGAGCTTTTCTGAAAGATATTTCGGGGCGAGAGACTACTGGAAATTACCTAAGTGAAATTTAATTAATTTGCTTTTCTATTTGTAGATTTGAAATAGTATCAGGAAGGGCTATTTATTGTACCACACCAACCAATTCTCTGTGATGAAACAGAGAGGGAAAAAATGCCCAGTGCCAGTTTTATATGTCGAGGGCACACTGGTAATGTCTAGCCTGGTGAAAGATATAAATGGAAAAATGCATTTTTCAACAGTTTTAGCGTGGAAATTCTTTTAAACTCAAGCATTTTGTTTTCAAGCTTTTACATATTTTGAAACAAGGCTATCAGAGAGGGAACATCCATAATGCAGTATTTGTCTTTACCCCGTGCTTTTGAGAAGACTGCAGCCATTAACTCTTCCATTTCAGGGGTTGAACAAAAAACACTACAGAACTTTTCTTCCCCCTGGCTAAGTGATACTGAAAATAACACTGATAAGGTCTGAACGATCGGGGGACCTTTAGTAAAAGGCGATTAGACAGGGATGGGGCAGAATATACACCTTTAAATATGTGGATACAGTCAAGAAAACCCTTTTCTAAAAGTAGGTGCACTAACCAGAGGTTTTCTTTTTCACTGCAACATGTTGGAAAGGTTGGGCCAGAGTTGGCTACCTTTTACCTTCGCAATACTGAACAGGACTCGGTCTGAGTTTTTTTTTTTTTTCTTTCCGTTTCTTTCCCCTCAGGGAAGAAGAGGGAAGGGTTGAAATCCTATGAACTAAAGACCCACGAGCTTGCCACAGGTAGAACAAGATTTTTTAAAAAAGCAAACCTAAGAGCGAAACGAGAGGACTTGAAGCGCGGACGGTGCGAGGCCTGTTTGCACCGGCCCGCGGACAGCGTTTGAGCGCTGCAGCGGGTATCCCCGGTGTCCTCCGGCCAACCGGGCCAGCTCGCCCGCGGGGACAGTGGGCTCCGGTCCCTAAGGGTGAGGCACTCGGGGCTGTCGCGCGAGTGCGTCACTGTCCGGGACGGGAGACAGGTCCGCTAAGGGAGTGGGCGCCGAGCCGCGCGGGGCCGCTCTTCGGTCCGCTGACCAGGCTTCGCCTCCCACCTCGGTGTGTGTGTGGGGGTGCGGGCGGCTCGAGCGGGGAAGGTCGTCCCGCTGCAGCGACAGGACAGTCATCACTCTCCGGTCTCCACACGTTGCGGGTGCCGCCCGGCCGCGCGCCTAGGAAGCGCCGGTGACTGACGGAGTGACCGCCCCCTCCTCCCCCGCCGCCCCCTCCCGGCGCCCCTCCCCCGGGCCGACACGTCATGGAAACACAGACGTCAGAGGCCGCCGGCCAATCAGAGGCCGCCGCAGGAGGGAAGGGGAGCGCAGGAGGGGGCGGGGACAGCCGCCAGCCCCGGCGCGCACAGGGAAAAGGAAGAGGGAGCGAGGGAGGGGCGCCGCGGAGGCGCGAGTCGCCCGCCCTGCACTCCGGCCACCCTTTCGGCCCCGCGCGCTGCCAAGTTCTGGTCTCCGGGCGCGCGCTCCGCCAGCCCGGGGGCGCGCTCGCCGGATCCTCCCCTTAAACGCCCTCACGGTGAAGCGCCCAGTCCCGGTCGGTCCGAGCCGCGCTAACCTCTGCTCGTGCGCGCGCGCCCGTCCGCCCGCCCTCAGGCTCCCCGCGGGCCGCGTCACGTGACCGCGCCCAGCCAAGGCGGCAGCGGCGGCCGCGCGAGCAGCGGCGGCGGTGGCAGAGGCAGCGGGAGGCAGCTGCGCCGCCAGCGTGGAGCAGGAGGCGTGGAGGTGTGGAGAAGAAGGGAGCGTCGGACCGGAACGGGTGAGCGCCCTCCACCCCCTCTGCCTACTCGGACGGGTCCCCCGCGGGTCCTCCCCGGTGCACACGGGCCCTTCGCCCCGGAGCTGATTGCAGCCCCTCGTGCTCGGCGGTCCGCTTCCCGGTGTGTTCCTCCCCACAACCCCGGACCCCGCCCCGGGCTGCACCCCGCCCGCTGCTGCAGCGGACGACGGCGCGGGGCCGGCAGAGGTGCCTTGCCGAGCGCGGCGCGCCCTGAGCGCGGCTTTGCGGAGCCGAGGAGGCGGGTCCTGCGGGGACGCGAGCGGCCACTCGGCGACCGCCGGGCTCTGGGCGGGGGCCGTCCGGGCGCCGCCTCCTCCTCCTCCTCCGCCACCGCCGCCGCCTCCTCGCGGTGCAGCGTGAGTAGGGAGCCCCGGCTGGTGGACGCCGCCGAGGCTCTGGGCTCCGCGGCGGCCGCCTCGTCCCCCGAGGTGCAGCCGCACCTCCGCGTGGCGCCCCGCGCCCAGCGAGCCGGCTTGTGGGCACGTCCCGAGACCCCCACGCCGCCATCCCCGGTTCCCCCCAACCCCTCCCGCCTAGCCTTCCTTGATTCTTCCCTCGGAAAAATGGTTCCCGCTGCGGGCGAGGTGAGTGGCGGCCGGTGGCCGCCCGCGGCGGGGGCGGCCACCTGCGGGGGAGGCCGGGCGGAGCGCGCAGGGCGCTGCGGGGGTCCTGACAGCTGGGCTCGGGGTGGAGTGCGACGGGTCCCCGCGAAGTTGGCGGAGCCGCCGGGGTTCGCTCTCTTGCTAGGGGGACCGTAAAGGTGAGAAGGCTTCCTTCCTGCGCGCCCCAGCGCTTGCTCCAGCTCGGAGTCGCCGTCCCGGTCGGTGGCTCCTCGGCTACACCGGCGCCTCTCCTACTTGGCGGGGCTGCCTCTGCTGCCGCCACAGCCCCTCCGAACACCGGTCGCCCCCACCCCGGCGTGTGGGTGGTGACCTTGAGGGCAGCCTAGCCCGGCACTCCCTTTCCCCGCGCCCCGGGAGGGTCACCCATTTAATCCCTGCCTTGGGCCCCCGAGAGGTGCTGCCGGCTCAAGGTGAAGGTTCTTGCGTCGGCCTCCCGGAGGGGGTGCTCTGATAGATGCGTGTCAGACAGGACGGTGACTCCCGGGGAGTTGGAGAGCCGCCCCAACTCTCTGTTCAGGTCTTGCGTCTGGCCCCCCCAGGATGTTCACGCTTGCTTCCGATTCATGTTTATGTACTTAGTTTAAAAGAAAAAAAAAATCTGCGCTGTCCTCGGGTCCCCGGAAAGGGTCAGTAAGAAGGAGGGTGACATTCCAATTGCCGGGGTGGGGGGGGGCGGAGCGGAGAGGGCGGGGGGTTCCTCTCTGTTCCATCTTGCAAGAGAATTTAGTGGCTTGGCTAGTTAGCGACCCCTGGGTCTGCTCTTCGGTCTCTGCCTGGGTTGGTCTCTGTGCGCATTTCGTTCACCAGTTTACTGCGGGACTCTAGCATTGGGAGGGAGTGCTTTCGCTGTTGAGGTGAGAGGACCCCCGAAGGAGGACCCAAAGGAGAACTGAGACTGCCCTGCGTGGGTAGAGGGGTCTGCAGGACCGCCAAGGACGCGATCCTCCTCGGTGGGCTGATTTTTTTTTTTTCTCTCTCCCTTCCTGTGGGCTGGAGCGCTGCAGACAGCCACCTTTGGCTGCTATGCATGCTACTTTTCTGGGTTTATTAATAATCTAATGGCTCCTGTTGGTATCGATTGCTGTTCCTGATAAATTAGTTATATGGATTTTTTTCATACGTGTGTAGGTATATGCACGTCCTGGACTGTCTGCCTTTCAACATGGAAGGCTTTGTTGTGTTTCACCTCCCCCACCTGAGGACAGTCTTTACTTTAAAATAAGGTTCTTGCTCAGCGTAGGTGTATTTTATAATAATAAGTACTTGTAAGGGCCTGGTTTGTGTAAAGCGCTCTTAGGGCATCCCTTTGGATGGTGGCCCATGAGAGTGAATGGAGAGCCTTGACTTGCTCTGCCACCAACCTTCCCTAGGGAGACTCCCTGTCCTTGTGTGTGGCAGGGATGGATTGGGGGAATTAAAGGATTGGAGGAGGAGAATCTGCCTTTTGTACTTGGGTGCTTCATTTGGCACCACCATCCCAACCCCTCTTTTTTCCCCTCGTGGTGAGTTCAAAATTTGAAATAGAATTTTTTTTTTCTTATTGGGAGGTTTTTTTTTTTTTTAGTGTATGAAATGGGCCTTTTAAGCCATGTTTTCAGGGAGCTGTTTTAGTTTTTACCTTGCTTTGGATAAGACAGTTAAATTGCTGTCATTAAGGGTGGATCTCTGCCCTGATTTTGGCTTGGGTGTAACTGCAAAGATCTTTGAAAAGTAACTGTTATTTTCTACCATATAGTCTGCAAAAGTGAGTCACATTCGGGTGAGATGAGGACAGAGCGCCACCTTTGATTTAAAATTTTGTCGTCCCCCCACTCCCATCAAACAGTGAAAATGAAGAGTATGCCTGCTTACTGCAGTTGTCTTTATTGCACCCATTTCGAGGGAAGGGGGACTTGTCTTCATTTCTTTGTATCCTCTTGTTTCTAGATCTTGAGAGGCATTTCAGCAACTGTGTGGGGAAACTACTATGTTTTGTTTTTAGATGAAGCTTGAGACCTTACTTAGCCTTCTAAGATGAGGTGAGGAACTGGTTTTGACTCATGTCGATAATAGAATAAGAGGATATTGATGATCTGGACCGGCTGAGGGAAGGAGGTAATGCAGCAGTGTTTTCCACTGTGTTTGGACATTCCAGCAAATTCCAGTACCTACCAGCATGGTAGTGCTTTTACTACTTTTTTTTTTTTTTAACTGCTGAGCTATAAACAGGTTCTAAAATAAAGACCAAAAATGTGGTAAAATTATTTTTCTGGCCTGAATATGATATATTAATTCTTTTTCCTTCGTTATCTTGTTTTACCTGCCTTTCATGGTTTTACTGGGTGCTTATAATTACTTGCTTTAAGTACTTACATTCAAAGTTTAATCAAGACCATGTTGGAAAAAGTGGATTCTGTATACAGCTCCTCTTAGATGCATCTCATATGAAAATAAATGGACTTTTTCAGGCTTAGGGGAAAGAGATGCTGTAGCGACAGCTGAGCTGATGAGATTTCCCTGTTCGCTCTGCGCGGCTCTCTCCCTTCTCAGATCCAAAGTTCAAGGTACACTATCTCTTTTGACAGACGATAATTTTTTATTGTATACCGTAGAACACAAGAGAAAAGGATGTAGCCTTTAAATAATGGGTAAATTAACATGGATATTACCTAATACGGATTTTAATTACACACCACAAGCTATTATTACTGTTTTATCTGCCTTTAAATTTTAATTCAATGTTTGTGAGTTCTTCTGACTGCTGTCAAACGTTAGATGTTGAGCTGTAGATAAGTATGAAGCTATAATTAAACAAAAAATCCGTTTGAGATGATAGATTACTTATGCCTTCACTGCTCCAAGGCCTCCTTAAAGCCATAGAATATGGCCCTAGTAACCTAGGATATTTAAAACGATTAAGGTGATGCATGCAGAATAATTAATACATTGTTAAATGTATTTTGATTAAATTTTTTATTTGGGCATTCAGTTGACTAATTTCCATGGACAAACATGTTAACTTCATTTTGAATGAAACAATCTCTTATGTGAAGAGATTTACAAGGACTTGTCACTCAGTAAAACTATAAATACTAATAAAAATAGTAAAACTATTGTAATATTGAACATCAAAAACATTTGACAATTTTTCCTATGTTTTATACATATAAGGTTTAAACTAGCATTTCATGTCTTATGGAATTTGTAATTAATATGAAAACACAGGAAGAGTAAGGATCGGGAAGCAGAGACTAAAGTTCCTGCATCTCGTGTGAAAGTATTTACTTGATTAGTTGAAGGGAAAATGATTTTCTGGTAAATGTCTTATAAAAAGGTGCTATTAATAGCTTATTTGGGGATTTACAGACTCTGAGGCAACATTACAAGGAAAATGATATATACAAGAAACATTTTTTAAAAGAAGTGACAGTTTCTTCACTTTTAGAAACGGTGCTTAAAAACACACACCAAATATACTGCTTTATTAAATTTTTTATTACATAAAATAGAATAACAAAGTTAAATCACCATTTTGACAACCCATAGCCAATCCACTGTCAATATCACCATACTAGAAATAAGTCTGTTATGAATGGGCACATTAGGTAAATAGATGGAATTTTTTTTAAATATCAGATTCTTGTTATGTAGCCCTGGCTGTGCTGGAACTCACTATATAGACCAGGCTAGCCCTGAACTCATAGAGTGCCACCTGCTTCCAATTCTTGAATGTTAAATTGAATTCTTACGTTTAATATTTGTAGCATTGGAGATCCTCAGTACTACTCAATATTCAACAGTATCTGAAAAGTTGACTCTGTAGCCTTCTTTGTATGTGTGGCCTGGACT